TCTCCACTTCTGGTTGCAGAGATGGAGGCCAATCAGAAAAAGGCAGAATGGCCAATCAGAAACAGTAGCCTTGGAAATAGCCAATTAGGCCTGTTTGTCTGTGAGGACAAAGGAAGCGATATTGCAGAGTGATTGCGCCAGCGCCGAGCTACACAAACACGCTCAAATGACACCTTGCTTGTTGCCTTCCAACCCTAATTTCACAGGAGTGCGAGATCTTGATTGCATCTGTGCTGGCGAGAGAGGACGTCTCATTATTACACCAAAACAATCGCCACCTCAGAGGCAAAAAACAGAGATTTTGTTTTCATTAGGGAGCTATTGAGTCACCGGCTCTCGAGTCAAGGCCATCAGACGCACACGCACTCACACACATGTACATGCACCGAGGGTGTAGTCTGGCAATTTTACTCAAAAGATTTGTACCTTACTCCAGTCCACTTAATGAAGCTGTAAATTTAGAGACGTGAGGGCCTTTACAGTGCTCCTTTGAGAGCTGCTACAATGATCCTGGGACTGAGCTGGTTAATTAACTGATTGTTTGCTTGGCTTGGAGCCACAGAGAAAATGGGTGGATGTGGAGCGAGACAAGGAGATGAAAAGAGGGTGCATGAGGGGAGAGGATGGAAAAGAATGGCTGTGAAAGGGAGAAGAGAGCACAGAAGTGGTCAGGGGGCAGTAAGAGAGAATCAAAGAATAGAACAGAAAACGGGGGGAGAGGATAGAAAAGCACAGGAAACAAGCTTCAAGGGCAGCATCTCATATTTCAACTAACATGTGGATGCTGAACAGATAAGCGCCTTGAGGCGACTTTTGTTGTGATTTGGCGCTATATAAATAAAATTGAATTGAATTGAATTGAATAACTGTCTTTTGTGCTTGCGATTGCTAATTGAAGGTACAGCTGAGGCTGAGAGAAACAACATTAATAAAAAAGTCTGTACCAAATTTCATGGCTGTTAATCATTTTACATTTCAATTTCATGTGATGCTATGGGAAAAGCTGGGGGATCACCAAAGTTAGGAGGGCTTACTACCAGACACCAAAAACACACGTCTGACCTCGGAAACATGTGATCCTGTTTGAAACGTTGCCTGTAGGCAAAGGTTGGGTGTTTCAAACAAGGACCTTTTCTAAAAAAATAAAAATAAATAAAATAATATTATTCATTCCAAAAAACAGACCTTCAGCAGGAGATGCTAGTATTACCTCCTTTATCAGAAGTAACTTCTTGGGTGTTTTGAGACTGAAATCTTTAAAGACGAGAACTTCTCTATAAATGAAAACTTTAAAATCATAAAAACTGGACACCCAGAAGTCCCATGTCCGTGACCTGATGGTTCAGAGCTTTTATAGTGACCTAACCTTAGATGGTTCCAGTGTTATGGCGGTTTTATTGTTGTTTGCTGGCGAGCTGTCGTGCTCCGCTGTTCTTTCCAGACAGCACTGTCTTTCTAATCGTGGATATATGCATGAAGTGTCACATAAACAGTTAAAAGACCTGCAGACCCTATGTCATCATTTCTTGGTTCTTCAAGACTTTTATTTTTTTACATGAACATGTTGTGCTCAATAGCTATCTGTAACAAACCCACGACAGACCTGACCACATCTCACCACTTTTGAGCATTGTTTCTTTATTACGGTTGCTTGTTTACATGCGGCTCAGGACCCAGTTTAGCTGGCGAGGAGTGATTGCAGATGTCACTCAGGTGCGTCCCCCTCCCCCCGGACGAACCTACCCCGTCAGAATCAAACCAGACCGTCGGCATCCCCAGCCCATGGCCCAGTGGTGGGGATGTGTTGGTTCTGGGGGTTGGCCACTTGTACCGCAGTGACGATGATGCTGGTCTGCAGGCCGCAGTGGCGTAGCAGTCGAGCCCATGATCCGAGGCTCCCAGGCGGCTTGGTAAGCGGCCCGCGGACAGGACCACACACCGGCCTCACTTCCACCTGAGGCTGGTGCGCTGTGTGGTCGGTCCGGTCCCACAGTTCTCCCCATTGGTGGCGTGCCTCCGCTGCCTGCTCCTTCTGCGTGGCCGCAAGCTCAGCCACCATTTGGGCCAGCGCCTTCCCTGGCTGGCCCGGTCCTGGGTCTGCCGTGCCCCAATACTGGGTTTTGGCACCAGTGTAACAAACCCACGACAGACCCAACCACAGCTCACTGCTTTTCAGCATACTTTCTTTATTACCGTTGCTTGTTTACAAGCGGCTGCAGCATTTCAGCCACCAGCACACACCACCAACAACAAAGCTCAACAACAAAACCGGTGTTCTGACAAAACGTCCTACTTTGTCAAAACATCCTACCGTAGCGTAAATTTATAGTCGTGTCTATCAATCCATGCGATCTTATCAGAATATACTACCTTACTTAGTGGATGCCATCATCATACATATCTATAGGTAGGATGTTCTGATGGCCAAATCACGCTATCAAAACATGCTTCCAACACACATTCATCTAATGTTAACACAGAATACAAGGAGAAATGGGATCCATTATGTAAGATGCAACGCACATACAGTAAATAAAATGACCAATGTCAAGGTTCTTACAAATTAAACAATGTTATCACTCAGTTAACAAGTATGTAGTGCAATATTACTTTCTTTAACATAACAACGGAGCGTGGTGTCCACTAACTTCAGGAGGACTAAAATTAATTGACAAGGTTTACGCTGTACGCCAGTAAACGGATGTTTATGAGTACTACATCAAGACTTGAAATATGACTTTAATTGAGACACCAAATTGGAGTATCTTTGCACAAAAAACAAAACGCATGTTAGCTTGAAAAGTTAACAAATTGACAACAGCTTAAGGAAAAAAGTATCAACTGTAATAAAGAAGTAAAACATATAATACTAACCTTTTTTCGCACGCACAAGATCGGGGTAGGATCAAATAATATGCGTGTACTATTCACACCGAAAACACACCGTTTTGAGTTGTGCGCATGCGCAGTAACAACATGTAGGACAGTTTTGTCAGAACGCCGGCAAGGCGTGATTGCAGATGCTGCTCAGCTGCGGCGCCGACCACGCCCTGCCACACTATCCTAAAAAAATATGCAGTTATTTGGAAACAATGGAATTCTTACAATGAAATGGGCGACTTGTGGAGAACCTTATATATACCACACCAGACTCAGAGGCATCCTTCATCATTTTTGATGGGTGAGCTCTTTAATCTTAGATTGATGGCACCGCACGCTTAGATAACAAAAAGAAAAGCAAACCTGACATGTCAGAGATTTAAATCTGATATACAGGACAAACTTGCCCCTGCCTTGGGAAGTCAATAATCATCATCTAATCACCCAATTACCTCCGCACAGGAGGTTATGTTTTTGGCAGCGTTTGTGTGCGTGCATGTCATTCTGTATGTGAATCGATCGCTCAAAAAGTTTTGAGTTAATTCTAATAAAACTTTGTAGGTTGTAGAGTGGGGTCAGATTGACAGGCCATTAAATTTTGCCTTACATCCTCCGAGGTCTTCAAGGTCAACGTTATCATTTATTGGGTGGAAATGGATAAATTCTGATAAAACGATGTACTTTGTCACAAACTATATTTACATCTGCACCATGAGCACATCACAGATTTAAGGTGTAATGCTAACAATCCATTCAAATTTGGCTTCAAGGTCAGGGTTTAATGATTTATAGATCGAGAATTGACAAAAAGTCTGATTCATACAAGCATGATGTGTATTGCTAACATGTACCAAAAACCTATAAATAGAAAATAATTAAAGGTAGTCAAGACAAAGCGAATGAGTTGCCTAGTTAGACATACACCTACATACTGTTTGTATAATCAAAGTACAGTAAATATGTGTCATGCTACTCTAATCTGATTTTTACTGCACTACAAACTTCCTTAAGTACGTTTAAAACGAACAAAGAAAACAAAATCAGTATAAAGAAAATACAATACTGTTCCATCCATCCAGCCATTCATCCATTCTCCTCCACTTACCCTTATCAGGATCACAGGGCAATACAATTACCTTCAAAGTAAATACTGCCCACAGAGCGACCTGCATTTGCTTTACAAATCTTGTTTACCTTGATTCTAGTTCAGTGAATTTAAAGAGGTGGGATACATGTAGGAGAGTGTTGTTTGAGTACATCATCTTCTTTTTGTAGGCCCTCTTTCAATGCTTCGGTGCTTCTCTGACTGTGCTACTGAAAAGTTGTACTTGTTACTTGTTAAATTAAAACTCAGCATCACGGTACATGAAATAATTCATCTTCTGGGAACCAAGAATTTCACAGTGATCCAATACTTATTCAAATTGTTGAGATATTTCAGTCCAGGCCAGTATGACTGATCACCATGTGTATTGATAAAGTCAGCCCAGGCCACGTGTGCAGAAGATAGATGAGTGTTTACTGCACCCTGGCTTTGAGCCACCACTGGTTGCAATATAAGCATTGCAGCTGAGAGGCATGGCACTTAGTCAGACTTCAGTTTTTCTTTGTCTGAGATAAAAGTTTAAATTATCCCCTTCCTCCAGTTTCTAAGAGAAATGACACCAAGTAGGTATTTTTCTTAGAAACACTTATATGAGAGCAATTTCAATGCAAGCATTTGCAATTTACAGAAACATCTACTAACTGTAGCTGAGAAAAGTTCAGATCTTTTTTACTGTTTTTGTCAGCTGTCAAACTGTCACTGTTCTGCTTAAACTCCCATCTCTGTCGATCTGGCAAATGCTCTTTTCTTATAGAAAACTAACAAACTAATAGATGTGTTTAAAGGTCACGCCGCTGCTATCCCCTGCAAAGTCTGAAGCCACAGTTGTGTCTTTATCGTACCCTGATTCTTTGTCATCAACTCTTGTAGTTTGAAAAAAAAAAAGCATGAGTTTAAACTTATATAATCTAGAAGTCACATCGTATCCCCCAGAGTAAAAAACATAGACAGAAACACAGGTTCAAGTTGGCACGATCACCATAGTTTATTAATTAACACAAATATTGTTCCGAGGTCTCCATTGTAACTGTTAAAGATGAGAGTTAGATCTTCTTGCTGATTCTCTTCAGCACTACAGAGCCGGCTTTGGAGGTCTGCAGAAAGACAGGAAATGACTTCAATTAGCTTTTGCAGTGCTTCTTTACATCTGGTTTTATGCTGTGAAACAATTTTTTTTTGAAGTGTCAGACAAATGAAAAAATACCACTGTAACAGTAACTTTATACTTGTCTGCTTCTGACCAACCCTGACACCTGAAAACTGCAGACTTTAGCAAATTAAGTAATTATAAATTAAGCAATTGTGTCAGTCAGCTGAAACAGTCTTCATTTTGAATTTTCCACTGTGTTTGGCTTCCTTTTAACTGGATACATTTTTGCTGTTTTTCTCAAAATGAAAGTGTGAAGTGTTGAAAATTTCTGAAAAGCAGACTATAAAATGGAAACCAAAAAGAGATAACCTGCAAAGAGAGAAGTGTCTCGTATAAATTCTCAGGATTAAAAGGTTAAATATGGGAATGAATTGGTTGTTAAAGTGCATTCAGTGGCAATACTCTGTGTTTCAGAGAGTTTTTTTCTTATTAGCTGTTCCTGGTCTCCAGCTGCAGAAGTATAACTTTGATGACTCTAATGATCCCTGCGGGGAGTTGAGTGTAATAACTGCTGTCACTGCCCAACGTTCGCACCTCTAAAAGCCTAAGTGAGTGTGTTTACCTCGATGAGTTTGCCACCACTGATCTCAGAGGTGTGGTGGTAGTTGGGGAAGGTCACACTTAGCTTGCCTCCTTCCATTTGTACTGTAGCCTGTAAACAAAATTGTGATATAACCAGTTAGGAGAGTAGCATTCATAGCTTTATGCTTCTGCTAGCTATAGCTAAAGTGAAGCTTTGGATCATTTCCTCCCAACCTTGAATTTCTTTCCTCCAATGGTCTCCATGTCGGCCTCCTTTCCGATAGTGAACTTGTTGGTGACCTTGGCATTGGCAGGATATAAGAGGGTCCAGGTGAAATCTTTGCCATCCTGGGTGACCTCTGTGATCAACTTGTAGTCACGGCCCCTCTCGATGACATCATCTGGAATGCCTATAGTGGGACGGGAAGAGGATGCAAGGTCAAAAAAGGCCAAAGATGTGCAGAAAACAATGGAGTACAGAAGCAGAGGAAGTGGAAAATTTGAGCCTGTGTTCTCACCTAGCACCTTGCAGAAGGCGTCGTATCCCTCCTGGGTCTCGGTTTCCCATCTTCCAGCGAATGACATTTTGGTAATGTTGAGGGTAGAGGAGTGAGATCAGAGATGCTGAGGCAAGCTGAGGAAAGAGCAAGGTACTGAGACCAAGAATATTCCCCGTTTATATACGTTAGATCTCTCGCCACCTCCTTCATTTGCATGTGATGACACAAAAGAGCAATTACAACTGAATATGATGAGTTCAACAGGCTACGAGGGAGAGGCCAATAAAAAGCATAAACAGATGTTCATGGAGTTCACAGGCAGGGAGTAAAACGCTGACTGCTCTCTGGGTGAGCTGCAAGCTCACCTCTAGGTCAGTGAACTCACCTGCAATGGCTTTACGGACATACCCTCCACTTTTACTGCTGCTGATTCGAAAAGTAAATAAAAAGACAATAAAGGCTCCATTTCAAGATACGATCCATCTTTTTCAGAGTATACTGTTATGTCCAAAATGGAAACTGTCTGGGGTGTAATCAGGTCATCATTTACCTATAAAAAGGCTATAATCATTGTCTGGCACCGGGAAGGCTCGAGATGATCTAATGTAATTGGAGCCATTTCACTATTTTAAAGGTGTCATTTTTACACAGTCATCGCATTAGTATAAAGTCTGAAGACATTAAGACAGAATTTTACACACAATCAATTATAACATCGTGCATGTAAATTCAAATGCATTATACTGTAATCCTTTCATCTAGCAGATGAGCTCCTTTACCAAATGTAAAAGTATCAGCACATTTCCTCAGTTCCTTTCTTTGTAATTCAGACCCAAACCCAGGGCTACCAAAGTACAGACAAAACACGCAATAAACACAGTTAATGATGTAGTTATTAACCTGTTCTTGTGAATAAAACCTAGTCACCAAGTATAGCATCTTGACTTAAAGGTAAGATTTGAATCATCTTGTGTTAATAAGGAAGCTGTACAGTATGGAAGCTAATTTCCATGTAGTTATCAAATACTTTTGTGTAAATAAGTGCATTTAATTTGTTTTTATTTTTTTGATGAATTATTGATAAATATGTGATGCATCTTTGCTTTTTTGGATAAGAAAAACAAAAAGAAAAACATATTTAGTCATAAAAATGTCATCTCGTTGTCAGTGTAGGATGTGACTTAATCTCATTATAGGAGATATGTTGATTTATTAGTGGAATATTACTCCATATAGATGACTGAAAGGCTTCTGACAGATGTGTGACAGCAAAACAGATGAAAGCAGTAAACCAGTGACAAAAAACACTTCCTGAATCTTTCTTAAAGAAAAAAAAGTAGATAGCCACAGTGCTAACACAATTACAGTAAAGTGTTGCTTATGCTGTTGGTGGCTGAAAATTGTCCATTATGGTGACTATATGACTGAAGCACACTGGGCTTTCAGTTCTGACAAACTGAATAGGTAAAAGCTTTTGACGCTGCACTTTGATCTCACACAATGCAGCCATTTCCACAGATCGCTGATAGCGTTTTTTAAACCATGAAAAGTCAACTTGGCCTTGGAGCTCTTTATAGATACATAAAACATCATATTGGCCAACATCCTATAAAAGACACCCACTATCTCTTTCTTTTATTTCACTGTCACTCTCTGCCCTTTCTCACACACACACACACACACACACACACACACACACACACACACACACTAATCAGTGTGCAAAAGCAGATCAAATCCAGATCAAAAAAAAGGGAAAACACACACGTGTCGATATTTGTCATGAGAATTTAACCTGCTGAATCTTTATCATTACAAATGCATATTTATAAGTGAATAGTCATCATAAATGTATAACATCATTACACACTTTAAACACACTGAAGAGGAGACATGGTCGAGAGCTTGCTTTGACTTATAAGTGTGACATTAGAAAGAAAAAAATATGAGTTCAGGAAACGGAGAAAGTGGCAGTTCAGTCCCTCCCTGCCCGATTGCACTAATCTGCACCCTAAGCACTGCACAATGGGACTGCACTCCATGGTCTTTGATAGGCGTTTTAATAGCCTACAATACACTTGAATTTGGGGTTTTAGTATCAGTGTGGAAGATTTTACAATATAGAATATATGGCTTGGTCATAAGCTGAACATGTACCACCATGTAACACTGTGTAAGTGCTGGTGTGGATCCAGTTCTACCCTGGTGCTTTCTGAGAACCAGCTCAAGTCTTTAAGAACCAACTATTAAGAAATATGTCTGTGTAGGTTCTCAGTCATCAAGGTCATGGTAGTCTATGGAGCTTGGAAAGAAAGCAACTGGACTTCTTTAGTAAGTTTCACCTCTCGCCGAAGAGGCTTCTTCAGTTCTAAAACCAAACGGTGAAGAGTCCCGGGGACTCTACCAATTGCTGGGACTCTCCACCATTTAGTTTTAGAACTGAAGAAGCCTCTTGGATGAGAGGTGAAACGTCTTCATGAAACTGTCGCTCTTTAGACAACTATTAAGAAACAAAGAAAATCACGATGAGTTTCTCTACTTTAGCCCCTCTAATAGCCACTAGCAAGAATGGTTCCAACTTTGGTAAAGTATTTTTTTTGGTGGCGCACTGGTGATGGAAATGTGTGTAAATAGTTCCAGATTGAGAACCAGCAGCACGTTGGTGGAAAAGGACTAGAAATCTGTGAGAAGTTGTTAAGTTCTCTGATTTTGGATAACTGCTATCAGATCAAAGTCTCTGGATTTTCTTTGGATTTAAATTCACACACAAAAATTCCAATAAAGAAATAAACCATCACGATGTTCACATTATTATACTGAATACATTACATGGTGTAGCATTAGATATAGCCATTTATTATCTGCAGACGCCGTGCTAGACACATAAATCTTAAATATATTTTTGAGTCATCGCAGTGATTCAGTGTGGCGAGCAGTGAGAAACTGCAATGTCAGGTACTAATTTTTCCTGCCACTAAAATCTGATGTTATGCAGAACATGCCAGACAAAACAAAGATTTCAGCCGGTTTCTGCCCGTCTGTCTCGAGGTCAAACTTATTCTCAATTCACAGTGAATAGTGAGCAAAGTGCACTTGTCTCTCGAGTTTATTGTCAGTGTTGCAATTGTGTTGGTTACATTTTAATAGTTGGCTGTAATTTCAACTTTTGCCTAAACTTTTTTTTCCACTCTCCTCCCTAATTCCCCCAAGTGCGATTCCAACTAGATAATAAGTAACTAGGATTACTGGCCATTACGTTATTATGTCCAATCACATGTCGATGAAGTCATGCTTTACTTTTTCCCTCTCCTCTTGTCTTATGAAAGGCATCTTTCGATATACACAAGAAAGGGGCACATATAAAGGCGACTTAAAGGAAATGATGAATACTAAATGCAAGAAGAGAAAAAAACAAGGATATGAACAAACGAACAAGTAGTTAATGAAGAACAAGAAGGGGGAGAGGAGGAAAGGAAGAAAAGATTCTAAAGAAAGATACATATAGATAGATTCCTTTTATCTACAGCTCTAAAGAGGGGATTTGCGATGGAGGAATTAAAGGAGGGGAGGCCTTGATATGCAAATGAAGCCCCTGCTAATCAAAGCAATAAGATTAGCCTTCCAAATTGAGATGAAGAAAGGCTCCATTATCTGGGCCGAGTGTCATGTTTAATAACGCGGAACGGCATGGTAATTCACTAGTGATGCAACTGGAGCCTATGTGCGTGAGTGTGTGCGTTTATGTGTTATGCGAGAAAAGTGGCGGTCTGCAATTGTTCGATGTGAAAATAGGAAAAAAAAGACAATGATGGTTATATAGATATATATGCATATATATATATATATATATATATATATATATATAGAGAGAGAGAGAGAGAGAGAGAGAGAGAGAGAATTAAACTTTTGAAAGACAATTCATGAACTTGTCTGCATGTCATCCAGTGTGAGATGAATAGGAAGACTAAATGCGGCAGGCATGAGAGGAGAAAGTGTGTGAGTGCGTGCGTGTGCTTGGCTTTGATGCTAAAGTTTTGTGCTATGTTGTACAGGGAAATGAAAACTCTGTGAAAAATGCTTCTGTAGAGGAACACTGGTGTATGCTCACACATTATCAGATAAGACTGAGCCACGTGGTTTGATCAGGTACACATTTACTCAAAGGAGTGCAACGCTTTACCCAGAATCCCATCCCAACGTACACACTGCCAAAATAATGTCTGCTTTCTCAAACCACAGTGTGACTATAGCATAAGGTTTGCTCACTGCTGCAGCAGGAGGAATATTTGGTTATAAAATGCACATAAACAAAAATGTGAGATGTGTTTTGCAGTTACCAACCAGCAGTCTCTAACTAGTAGAGCATGTGGAAGCTTACAAGCTGGATGTCTCTCCCAGGAGTTGGTGAAAATCAAAACAGCCCAATTGGAGAGGGAATATTGGGTTGATAGATGTGCAAATAGGATGCTGTTTGTATGATATCACATGGTAACATGTCAATATGGTATTTACACAATAAACAAGAAGCGCTGTGAGAGTGCAAAACTCCACCAATGCAGCTCACTCTCTGGGCAGTACTTGGGCTGAAACCCATTTTATTATACATGAAATTATCTTGAATATTTTTTTAAATGTAAACATGGTGTAGTACATGTGGAGCATTGATTTCATCTTTTAGTTCAGTTCGTCCAAATGTTTAGTGATTATAACTCGTGTTCAGGTTATCGAGGAACATTGCACACGTGTTCAAATTGTTATTTATTTAAATGGTTATAACCTGGCACTGTACTGCACTCTACAGCCCTACAAAGTTTTATCAGAATTTATGCAAAACTTTTTGAGATGTTGTGTTTGCAGACAGAATGACATGCATGCAAAAACATGACAGAATTTATGTTATATAAGCCAAAAATGTAATGTCATTATGGTCTTATTTGTCAATAAAAGGGTGTTAATCCACATGCGCCTTGCAGACATTTCTTTCTTATTTTGGGATGTAAACAATCCTGCTCAGTGTTATCATCAAACACGGTATCACTAAGGGTGTAGAGACAGAAAATAACACAAACACATTTGCTTACGTTG